AATTGTGTATTTTATGCCTTGTAGGAGTGATTCCGAGCTATGTAGATACTATGGAATGAATTCAAGTGATTTGGAGCTTTGGAGTCTGAGTAAAAGCCCAAGGAATCAAGTCGGGATCGTGTTCGGGGATCAACGGATGATAGTTAAGAACGAAACGGAGAATCGAGCGGGCATACGACGCATTGTCTAGTCAAATGCACATAACATTTCGCTCAGAACTCCGTTTGGGCTCCACAATATATTGTTAGAAAGCTATTTGAAAGGTCTATAACTTTCATGCTTTGCATTTTTGCGAACTCCCACTACCGCGGTGCGTCAAGCGGCGCGCCGCGCCTGTGGAAATTCCTTGCAGCCTGTCACAGCTCTCTGAACTTCCCCACAAGCACACCGCATAGCGCGTCGCCCCATGCGGTGCGCCTGTGCAAATTTTACAGAGCCAGAGTCCTATTTCGCGCAGGAAAAGGTGTTTCACCTGGGCTCGACCCTATTTGGTATAAATACATGTAAAACGCTATTTTGACCAAAGGGGGGACATACTTTTGATATAATTTAGACCTAGGGAGACCGACATTAGACGGAGATTCAACCTAAGGAGGCAAGAACACACTTGGAGCAAGGCGGAGAATTCTTCTATGAGTTTTTCACTTCCTTCTTCCTATTTCTATTATTGGTTATGAATTCTAGTATTGTAGTTATGCATACTATTATGAATAGCTAATTTGTTATCTAGGGTTATTGATGGAACCTATTGGAGGATGATTTTCCTGTTACATTAATATAGATTTGCTGTAGTATTTTCTCTATTTGTTCAACTACGTTATTATTGTGGTTGGTTGAAGAGCTCTCAATCAACTGTGCCTATTTAGTGTGTATTACTCGGGAGAGAGTGCATATTTAGGTAGTTTTTGAACAACATCACTCCTAACGTATATGAGGGATCAATACGGAGGGTTTAAGGTATGATTAGGGATAACGAAACCTTGGGTGCGATCCGAGTGAGCCGTACCAAATGCCAGCTAGCGTAATTTGGGAGAATATGTCAACTAAATTGTTGTAATTACTCAGGTGAGAGTTACGACAGCCAAAGTGCTCATGACCGGTAGAGAAGACTTAGGCAAATTTATAGAAAATGTAGCGGGAAGGATTCCGACAATAGGGGAAATCATAACTCTAGACCTCCTTAGTCTCCAACCCGTAGTATCTTTAGTGTTAATCTACTAATTTAATTTTTTAGTTAATTAGATACAAGAATCTTAATATTTATAACATTGGAATTGTTCGAGCTTGTCTTCTTAGCAATATTGAACAACTGTAGCTAAGCCTTAGTTCTATGTGGGATTCGACTCCGGACTTGTAGACCGGATTATATTTTCAACGACCGCTTAGTCCTTTTTATAAGGCATAGTTGGGCGTGATCAAATTTTGGCGCCTTTGTCGGGGAACAAAAGATGTAGCTGTAGGTGTACATATTTCTAGGTTGCAAGTTTGAACTTTTATTTTTGTTTTCTTGTATTTGATTATTTTTTTTAAATTTTTATTTTTGACTTGAGAGACATGGCATCTTAGAATTATGAGAGTTTTGATGTTGGTAATTCTACTTTTCATCCTCCTTATGCATATTATGGAGGAAACCACCCGGGGAAAAATTATCAAAATATTCCCGAGAGCGAGTTATGTGCACCAACTCAATCTTACGTGTGGAATGTGTGTGATATGTGTGGTGTTCAAGATGGTCACTTTCATAGTTGTGCTTATATTTCTTATCTTCCCCCAACCCCTTACTTTAATGGTTCTTCTTTTTCTTGTGAGGTTAATAGGAACAAAGAACCAAGGGATGATGACCTGTAAGAGATCAAGGATATGCTAAAGTGCCTTGTGGAACAATATGATGAGATACAACTGCGGGTACAAAGGCAAGATGCAACTATTCGCAACTTGGAGGCTCAAGTGAGTCAACTAGTTCAAGCTTTAAATGCTCAATATGCCAATATTATGGATAATAGCCAGGAGCAATGTGCATTAGATGCAGAAATTGAGGTACCAATGGAGGGGTCCATAGTAGAACACCAACAACCAATTAAACTAGAATATGAGGATGCCGATGTTGTAGAAGAGATACTAGTGTCAACCAAGGATATTGAAGATACATATTTAGTTGACTCTATTGTCATTGATATTGAGGATGTTGACAATCCCAATGTTCATGTAGTTGAGCGCATTGGTCCACACTCCAAGCATTTTTCGACATTATGTTTGGATGATGATATGGAAATAGAGTCGTCTGAGCCACTTGAGGAGTCAAGGGATGAGGAACAAGGTGCCTACATTCTGGAATTTTTCTTGCCAGAAAATCAAGATTACACACCTCATGTAAAGGCCAAGAAGTGCAAAATGCTACATTGGTTGCTTGGGCCAGTTAGATTTGTTCCTCCACCCCTGGAGCATAGCCGAAAACTTGATGCCAAATTGGTGGTCCAATTCATAAGTTCAAAGTGGAGGCAGAAAGTGATTCGCGGCGTGCCGCGATGTTAAATCAAGCGCTTGTTGGGAAGCAACCCAACTTTACTGCTTTTTTTTATTTTTTTAGTATTTTTTTTAATTGTATTATTTTTGTAGTGTCGATTTTCTTATTTTCTAGGAGCATGAAAAGCAAAGCTATAGGAAGGATGCAACAGCAAACCAGATGGTTGGAACTAAGTCTGAGGTACCCGCACGAAAGACCAAGCCTGGTAGAAGTCTGAGTACCCCATGAGCTGCTAGTGCTTTGGCCTTTGGCCTACCAGGGAGTTTCTTTTACCCTCTTATTAGTTATGGTGTGCATTGGGAACAATGCACGATTTTAAGTGTGGGGTGAGGAGATTGTCTGGGTGACTTTCTATGCTATTTTACCAGTGTTAGTTTAATTGAATAATGTATTTTTTAGAAAAATTAAAATTAAAAAAAATTAGACTTTTTCCGACGATGGATATCCTAGACAATTTTCTTGAGGGACTTATGTCTAAAGAACAAGGATAAAAAGATTTTTTTAGGTAGTATAATAATTCCCTCTTGATTTTTCTTTATGCCGCGGTTCTCTTTCAAGGGATTTATTTGAACCGGGTGTTGTTAGTTTTATTTTTTTTAGGAATAAGAGACATTGTATTATGTTTTGAATTAAAGCAATATCTCTTGACTTTATTGTGCCTTGAGAATAGTGAGTACTTCAGCTGTGACGCTTAGACTCAGTTTTTGACTCTTGTATAAGTACCTTAAATTGTATGATTTTAAATTTGCTTAACTGCTTTGACTAGAGTGTCTTGATAAATCCAATCCCGAGTGAGTTATATGCCATGTGTGTGTAAGGTTTTGTGTTATTCTATGCATTGCATTTGATGTCTAGAACTTGCCCCGTGTGTGTGCAAAGCGAAATAGTTGTTTTGTTTAGTCATGGAAGTGATATAGGCATTTCTTTGTTGAGCCAGATATGTATATTTTACCCGCCTAATTGTTATGTATCGTAGTTAACCCCTTTGAGCCTGTAATCCTGTTTCTTTGGCAACCACATTACAAGCCTTACCCAATTGTTTGAATTAACCATCTATTTGAACCTTTTCACCTCTCATGAGTACTTGAAATGTTATGAACTTTGAGCACCTGTTATTTTTTTCTCGATATCCAACATTTTTAAGAATGATGATAAAATTAATAGAGATAATATTAATCTAACTATATGTAGATTGAAGGGGTGTAATTGCTAATTTTAAATTTTTATTTTTATTTTATACTTTTTAATCACATTGAATAAAGAGATTTAGATTAAATTGGACAAAACTTATTCGATTTGATGAGCACGTATTTATTTATGAATCAATAATTGTGTAAGTCGAACTGAATTAATTTAAAATGGATCAAACCGACTAAATGTACACACTAATTCAATCTCCTTTACTATTGGTAGGTTCGCATGCATTAGAGACCGTGGCATCCGTAGTCGTCAAATTTTGGATCCGTCTCTGACTCTAGTTAATTAATACTCCATATGTTTCAACATATGTGTCTTATATTCTTTTTAATCTACTTTAAACAAAATATCACTTTTTTTTATTTCTTGGTATTCTAACTTTATCCGAAATGATATTCCGTTAGAGAAATGACATGATATCTTTGAGAACAAATTTAGTTTTGATATATTATACTCAACTTAAGATCTTTTTCATGTATGTAAAAATTCAGTGTCTAAGTTTATGATTAGGGGCGGTAAACAGATAGGTCGGGGTCGGATATGGGCGGGCAAAAAATGAGTAATGCAAAAATGGATAAATTATCCAACCCGACTCATATTTAATACAGATAGAGAATGGATTAACCAGCAAATAATATGGATATCCATATTATCCATGGCTTCTTGAATATATATTTTTTGGAGAATTCATAGTCTTCCAAACTTGAGCAACCCCCAATTTGAATTTTTATAAATATATATTAAATCCATTATCCATTGATCATCCATTTTTTAAGTGGATGATATTGGTTCTTATTTATATTTGACTCGTTTTTAAAAAGTTTATTATCCGACACATATTTTAATGGAATATATAGATAAATAACTGTTTTCTATATATCCATTTTGCCAGCACTATCTACGACACATATGAAATGAATAAAGTATTAAACTATATTAATTAAATATAAATATTGAATACGCGTTAAAACACTTCCGGTTAGAATTTAGACACACACAACAAGCAACAAGAGACTTAAATTGGTGTGGTTGCAGCAAACGGAAAGTTAACAACAGAAAAGTGCAGAAAGAAAGACAGAGAGAGAAAGAAAGTCTGCTGTTTTTAATTAGGCCATGGCGGCGTTGTTGCAGTACAGTAATTCTACCTCTTTAATGCTCTCATCACGAGCCACCACATAGAAGCAAAACAAAAGCTTGTCTTATTTAGCTTCCCCTTTGATTCATCGCTATCACCAAAAAGTCTTTTTTACAATTTCTAGAAATAAAAAGATGCAATAATCTTCCACAATTTCTAGCTACTAATTTATATTTCTTCTTCCTCATCTCTCTTAAGAAAGGAAAATTAAGGGAGAGTGAGAAAAACATCACTCTTTTTTTAAATTTTTTTTTCCTTAAACCCACAAATCAAGACACCAAAAAAGTTAAGGTCGTCGGCACCTTAGGAAAAATCAAAGTTTTTAGGGTCTGAGTGAGTATTGTTACTAGGCTGAAACTTAAGAGAATTGACGGAAGGGTGGAGTGAAGCTTGCGGCGTAATTTGACTCAACGCGAAATTTATGAGAACTAAACATAGTAAGGATTGACAGACTGAGAGTTGTTTGTTGACAGTACAGGTGAGCATATCATTCTTGGGGTCATGCTATGGATATTGAGTACTCACAATTGAATATAGAAAAAAGCATAAAGGTAGAAAAATGGCTGGGTTCTTTTCACTAGGAGGAGGAGGAAGAGAAACAAGTCAAGAACAACATCATCAAGAAACCTCTAATCATCACAACCCAGAGAACAATTGGTTCTTGTACAGAAATCATGATCAAGAATTACCCGCATACAAAGGGTTCGAACTATGGCAACAACAACAAGACGAGCAGCAAAATTACCAAATTCGGAACCCAATTATTAATCCATTACAAGATCTTTATCCCACTTCAGCTATTGGATTAGGTGTTGGTCCTACAGCAACAGATCATGGGGCGTCAAGATCTGCGGCTTTCGTAATGATGAGTAGTAGTGGGGGTGGAATTAGTTGTCAAGATTGTGGGAACCAAGCTAAGAAAGATTGTCAACATATGAGATGTAGGACTTGTTGTAAGAGCAGAGGTTTTCAGTGTCAAACACATGTGAGAAGTACTTGGGTTCCAGCAGCTAAGAGAAGAGAAAAACAACAACAACAAGAACATAGAGATAATAACCCCAAAAGGCTAAAAGATGATCCAAGTGGTTCTTCTCTTGTTTGCACTCGTTTACCTTCGAATACTGCTGGTAAAGTTTTTCTCTTTCTGAATTCTAAATTTTCTTTTTTCCATTTATCACTCGTTGCAGTCAGTGGCAAAACCAGAAATTTTTTTAAAGGTATTTAAATTTACAAGAAGTAAAAAAAAATCCCTGACAAAGGGGTTCAATATATGTTTTATATATCTAAAATCAATATTTTATTTTTCGTAATATTTCGGCGAAGGCAAAAGGTGGCTTCACCCCTGGTTACAATGTCGGAGCCATGAATTCTGATAAGGGGTTACAAGAAATAATCCAAAAAATGTCACACCTAAATTTGAGATATTTTCATTAATGGGATTCAAAAATTTTATATAAAAATTTATTTTTATAATAATTCTGCAGTATAACTTTTCGACGAATGGGAGGCTATTGTGATTCTACCACTGCCTCACTATATATACAGAAAAACATATATTCTCCAGACTCTGAAGAAACAGAAGATCCGTAACCATTGCTTATGATGAAAACTGAAAGAGATGAACCTCCCCTTTATAGTAACAGTAAAATCTATCAGCTTTTCTTTTTTCGTTGTCTTTCTCTTTCTCATCACTGTTTCTTGGTATTCCTGACAAAAGATTGTCAAAGAAGGCCCTATTCTCTCTCTATATGCGTTGTTCTTTTTTTTATTTTTTTTGTGTGTTCGAAATTTACTAACCTGATTAATTCCGATTCACATGGTAAGAAGTCCATTATAGGGTTTTAGCGTCCTCACCTAAGAGAATATTATTTTCATGGCTTGAATCCCAAACCTCTGGTTAAAGTTAGAGAAGCTTTTACTGTAGAGTCAGACCTCTCTATAACAACACCCCTATATAACAACTATTCACTATAAAAGTCAAGTTTTTCTTGGAGCCAATTTTTATGTAAATGTTATAATATATGATGTCCTCTATACCAGCACTTCATTATAGCAACCAAAAAATTTCGAAACAAACGAGGTTGTTATAAAGAGGTTTGACTATATATACCAACATGGGGTGGAGTTAGAAGCAGACGTAGGGGTTCGGCAGGGTCCAGTAGTCTCAATGCAAAATCTTGTATTTTTGTTAAGAAAATTCACTAAATATGTGCAAAAATTAAGTTAAGAACCTAATTACTAAACCTGATGTTGGAATTCTAGAATTTAGAACCCATAAAATTCGAATCATGGCTTCACCTCTAGTTAACAATATATATGTGAATACACATGACTTTGTTTCCCTAGACCTAGGATAATTGTATCTCTAACTCTTTAAATTTACATGTTATAATATTGCTAGCTAATGCTTAGTTGTTGAATCTTGTTTGCTTATCTGATGTAAGTCTTTTGATATTTTTAGGGTTAGAAGTTGGAAATTATCCATCAAAAGTAAATTCAACGGCTGTGTTTCACCGTGTTAGAATGAGCTCGATTGAAGAAACTGAAGATCAAATAGCATATCAGACTGCAGTTAATATTGGTGGACATATTTTCAAGGGAATTTTATATGATCAAGGTCTTGAGAGTCAGTACAATAATATGAATGCTACTACTGGTGACAGCTCAACTGGTGGTACTGAACCAGTAGTGCCACATCAGCATAATCTTATCGGCACCGCCACATCAGCGGCCACGTCCAACGCGGCCGCAAGTGGCGGTGGTGCTGCTGCGGCGGCTGAAGGGTCACATTTTCTAGAACATTCTCTATACTCTGCTCCTCTAATTAACAGTTTCATGGCAGCTGGTACGCAATTCTTTCCACCTCCTGCAAGATCTTGAGATTCTTCGACAAATTACGAAATTGACATTTGACTTTTTTTTCTTTCTGTAATGCAATCCAGTGAAGAATTAGTATTAATAGTACTACTTGTTTAGAACAAATATAGTAAAAAGAAAGGCGAAAAATGAGGGTATGAGGCCTCTTTTTTTGTTCTAATTTCTCTACGAAGTTGAGTTAATGGCTTTAATTCTCTTTGAAATAATACTATGAAAAGCCGATTTTTTGGCTGATCATGTTGGAGCCTGTTTCTTTAGTTTATTTATAAGTTGTTTGGTTGAGACACAAGAGAGATTAATTACGATAAATTTTTTAATGTAGAGATCATTATTTTTTGTTAGATATTTAATTTGATATGTTATTATAAGTTAGTATGCATTGCATAATCTAATACTATTGTTTATTTAACCTTTTTGGAATTAAGACATAATTGTTGTTGTAGTATATATGTACTATATAATCTAGAATATGCAGGAGTACTTACTTACTTTTAAAAAAAAATAAGAGTTTAATTTGCTTACTGTTACGAGAGATACTTTATTCATCTTACTGTTTTCAGTTTGTGTATTACTTATACCTATATTCTTATTCTACATAAACAGATAGATTTATGACTGATAAAAGTAGCAATCAAATATTATTTTGAATTGCAAAACTGGATTTTATGTAGATATTAATTCTCCTTGCAATACCAGCCAAACAACCCCTTAGTTACTACGACCAAATCCCCAACCCCCCCCCCC